GCGGTCACCGCAGGCTTACCACTGGAGCCCAATGGCCCCCAAACTGGCCGTGCGTGGCCCCTTTCTGGGGGAGCGACTTTTCCAGGAGAAAAGCTCGTGGTCCAGACAGGGCTCAAACCTCCAGCTTCTGAAACTAGCTTACCCGCCAGCCCTGCGCCCTCTCCTTCTTACCAGCTGGTTGGAGACATCTCCGTGGTCCTTTCTCGTCATGCCCTCCCCGATGGCGGACTTCATTAGCCGCGACAGGGAAGGGAGCACGTTGATGGGGGGGTAAATCTGGGGGGGAGCGGAGCAGAAGAAGGGAGTGGCAGAGGCAGGGTCCGAACTTTCCTTTTCTTCCCACTGCTACTTCTCTCCCCTCCCCCTACTGGTTCTCGGGAGACTGGTCCTCATTTGTCCTACAGAGAGGACACTGGTCACTCCCTGCTCTCATTCATCTCCCACAGATTCTAGGTCTTGGGTATGCTGGTGTCCCCAGGTGTGCTCCTAGACAGGAGAGTATCAAGGGAGATGACATGACCTTAGTGAAAGGCTTGCTATTTCAAAACTTTTGATTATTTGGCCAAAAACCAAGTTGAAGCTTAATAGTTAATAGCTGCAAAGAAAGAACGTGCCAAGCGAAGAAGAAAAGGTCGTGGGGTGCCCTTAACCTCAGATAGGACAGACACAGTTTCTAACCCGTTGGCACATTATTCACTATCTATTTGTGTCGGTTACCCTTGTTTCCTGTTCACCAAAGCAAACTACTGGCAAGGAAGAGAAATGGTATTTATTTAGTATATACTATCTGCTAGATGCTTTCTATATGCCAACTTATTTTATCCTCCACAATGCAACTGTGTGATAAGTATTATTGTTCCTATTTTATAGAAGAGGAAACCTAGTATCAGAGAGATGAAATTATTTTCTCCAGGTCCCACAGCCAGGTAGGCTGGCTTCTGCCCTGACCTGCCTTCTGTCTGTGGACCACACAGTCTTCCAGGGAGGGGGGTTATCTCTTGTTTGGGGTTAGCCTTGCCTGGCCCCTCCTAATTCACAGAGAGACAAAGCACAGGGGGTGGGGGTGGGACATCTGTTAGTCTGTGTCTTTGGGGTGGAAGTGGGTATGGAGGGGACAGTACCTGTCTATTATGAAGCTGTCTGTCCACGTAGATCTGTCCCTCTGTGATGAAGCCCGTCAGGTCTGGGATCGGGTGGGTGATATCTACAAGGAAATGCGTTGGCCTCAGTGTAGATGGGGCCCATGTCTCCACCCCCTCAGGGCCATCTGGGTTCTATTCCCCTCACTGGAGTGATAGGGGTTGGGAGGGGGGGCAAGAAAAGGATAGTGTCCACCTTGATGGAGGAACAGAGCCACTGCACATCTATGCAAAGAAGGGTCCAGGTGGGAAGAGAGGGCAGGGGGCTGTGGAGGTAGTGGGCAGTGAGGAAGCTCACCATCATTGGGCATGGTGAGGATGGGGATCTGAGTGATGGATCCGCCCCGGCCTTCCACGCGGCCCGCCCGCTCGTAGATGGTGGCCAGGTCTGTATACATATATCCAGGGAAGCCTCGGCGCCCTGGCACCTCTTCCCTAGCAGCCGAGACCTGTCCGAGGGCAATAGGGTAGGAGAAAGGGTGAGAGGCAGACACAGGAAGGGTGAGTGGGAGGGTCAGCAACCGTGTGAGAAGTGCGTGGGGGGCAGGAGAGGAATGGCCAGGCTGCTACTGCTCCCTGGAGCTCACGGGAGTGGGGGCAGGCCTGGGTGTGTGAGCTCTGGGGTCCAGGGGCTAGGGAGAGGCAGGGATGAACCTGACACCCCTTGCCGGCCACCTCACCTCCCGCAAGGCCTCTGCGTAGGAACTCATGTCCGTCAATATGACCAGCACGTGCTTCTCACACTGGTAAGCGAGGAACTCAGCAGTGGTCAGCGCCAGGCGCGGGGTGATGATCCGCTCGACCCTGGAGGTATGGCCAGTGTGGAGAGAGCCTGGAGGCCCGGCCTCTGCTCCATTTAGCCCCAGTGCTGAGTGCAAAGTGAACTGGGAAGCTGGTACTGTGCATAGTAGCAGAGTGGGTATGCTGAGCCCCTGCTCCCAGCCCCCAGGTCAGGGCGATGGTTCCTGGGAGTGGGCACTCAGCCAAGTATGACACTCCCTCCTCCTACTGTTCAAGGTAGGAAAGGGGCAGAGGCTGGGGCAGGTGGGGAGTTGGGTGAGGGTGGGACAGTCAGGGCCAGGCATGTCTAGTGAGGATGACAGTGGCCCACCTGTGGCATCTCAGAGCCAGGTGGGGTCTGCTCTAGCTCCCTCTTCACCAGGGCACCCTGCACTCGGGTCACTGGAGACTCTCCCTCCATGTCCTCAGGATTCTTTCCTCGCTGTTCCTCCCTGCTCCTAAGCATACTCAGTCTGCACGGTCCACGCGCTCCCTGGCCCGCAGCCACTGGCTGGCGGTCCCTCTGGCTCCAGCTACTCAGTCCTCAGGCTCTGTGCCTGTGAGTCTTTCCTTTGGTGACTCATCGTGGCCCCCAGAGCTCTGTTACTTAGTTTTTAAGTACTCTTAGTACCCAGGATAGTTTATTAGAATTTTTTTTCATCCACCTGATCCCCAGATTTAAACTCACTTTTTCTAAACTTTTAAAATAGAGTTTTTCTAAACAAATGGTTTAGGGAAATATCTCTTTAGGGGTGACTTTGTGGAAGGGACCTAAGGATGAGGAGCCCTGATTCTGGACAGTGGCTGGACGCAGGTTGTGGGCAGAGCAGAGGGGCTGCAGGTGGCAGGCGGGGTGGTGGCCTGGCTCCCTCTGTCTCTCCGTGGGCTGTCCCTGCCCCGTGCCCAATCTCAGCTTCCCCATCTGCACAATAAGGGGTTGTTGTCCCGGCTCTGGCCCGTAGCTGTAGTTCTGGGATGCCCCTGAGCCGTGGTACTCTGAATCTTGGAAGGGGACAGGGCCTGCTGCCTGAGGGCGGTATGGGCATCAGGGGAGGGCTCACGTTGGGTCGTTGGCCAAGTTCAGGAAGAGGCAGACATTCCCCATGGTCCCGTTCTGCTCGAAGTCGGACTTGAAGAATCTGGCTGTCTCCATGTTCACCTGGACACACAGCAGGGAGGGCTGGAGGCAGGGCCTAGAGGCCTGAGAGCGGGGACCCGGGTTCCTCCCATCTCTTCTCAGTAAAGCCTATCAACTGACTGGCTACCAGTCACTGGAGGTGAAGATGCCATGGTCACTGGGGGGACCCTGGGGCTTGAGAAGGCAGGGGCTGGGGTTGCTGCCCAGTCCTGAGTAGGGTCTCATCAGACCCCCAAAGAGAGGTTCAGACTCCAGGTTGAACTCTGCTCAGTACCATCTGCACCACCTTGGCCAGCTGCTTCCCCACTAAACTCCCATACCCCCCTGGGGCCCTTCTCAGAGCCCCCTGGCATCCCCCTCCTGAAGCTGTCTTGTCTCCCCAAATTCTCTGGCTTCCCCCTCCTCCGGGCCAAGCTGGGCTCATCTTGTAGGTACCATAGCCTTTGGGATGCTCAAGGGACACGCGGCCCTGGTCACTGAGCCTGCCACACCCCCTCTAGTCATGCTCTTGCCTCTCCCACCAGACAGACCTGGACCGGGACGCTTTCCAAGGAGAAGACTTGTGCCTCCCCCATCAGATCAGGCCATGCCAGGGGCCAAGGGAGACAAGGCTGCCCGTCCATGGCTTCCAGAACTTGCCAATCTGCCCAGCCCCTCTTACCCCCATGGCTGCAAAGACGATGGCGAAGTTGTCGTCGTGATAGTCCAGCACAGCCTTGGACTTCTTCACCAGCCCAGCCTGGCGGCAGATCTGGGCGGCAATCTGGGGCGGAGCAGGGGCGGGGGAGTTGCGCATGTCAGCACCAGAGCCCAGAGCCCACCCCACTGAGCACCACTGAGGAGGATGGATGGAGCAATGTCCAGTCCATCCTCCTGCCAGGGCCTCTGGTGGGAAGGATCCAAGGCCTGAAAGGTGAAAGGGCTGCCCCAGGTCCTACAGCCTTTTGGGGAGGGGGGCACCCTATTCCGTGGCTGTTAAAGGGCTGAGGGTGCCTGTCAGGAGAAGCAGGGCAGAATAACAGTTCCAAAGAGCAATTGCCTCAGCACGGGTTTGGGGTGGTTTGGCCCTTCACGCCCCCGGTGCCTCCCTGAGGCCGCTGGGGGTGATCTGAGTGCAGAACTGCAGGCCTGCAGGGTGGGGAGCTGCCAGTCACACAGGTCCAGATGTGCGTGTGCAGGGGGAGAGCGGGGACGCCTATGCCCTCTAACCACTATTTCGAGGGTGCACTGGGACACATCCAGGATTGGTCATTATGTGGCTGGTTAGGGGAGGAGCATCCAGAAACCTTGTCACCTGGCTGCTCTGAGAAGAACCGGCTGTTCACTCTTGGTGGTGGGAGTGGGGCAGGGAGTCTGCAAAGAGAGGCTTCAGATGGCTGTGGGGCGGCATGAGAAGGCTTCACCCGGTGCAGGGAGGAAAGCCCATTACAAGGACCAGTGGGCAGCGCTGTCAGCCCGGCTGAGCAGGACTCTCAATACTGGGGCTAGCAACGGGCTCTCTTGTGAGCCAAGGAGTGCACCACTCACTCAGGCAGAGGCTTGAAGACCTGCTTGGGGACAATGAGGGGGTCTTGTGCAGCCCTGAGTCCCTGAGCTAGCAGAGGACAACTGCCAGTCTGAATGCTGATGGTGCCAGCTGGGCCGGCCCCTGACTGCTCTGCACAGGCGCCCCTCCTTGCTCACCCACCAGCCCCGGCCTCAGCTCTGTCCCTTCCACCTGGCCCTGTCTGCAGGCCCCTGCAGGCCTAACCTCATTGTGGGGAAGCCCGGCTGCTGAGAAGATGGGGATCTTCTGCCCACGGGCAATGCTGTTCATGACATCGATGGGAGAGATGCCCGTCTGAATCATCTCCTCGGGGTAGATGCGGTCGTGGGGGTTGATGGGCTGGCCTGGGAGGTGATGATGGACCAGGGTTCAGGTCTCTCTCTGCCCCCCAAACCTGCCCCCCAAATCTGCCCCAGACTCCAGAGTGGCACTGTGTAACAGAACTTTCTGTGATGATAGAAATGTGCTCTGACTCCGCTGCCCAACACAGTAGCCCTAGTCACATGTGGCTACTGAGCACGTGAAATGTGGTTTTCAAATGAAATTTTATTCTATTTGAATTCATTTGTATTTAAATGGCCACATGTCAGCGCTCCCTTTGGACAGCGCTGCCCTGGTGCATTGTAAGTGGCAGGCAGGCGGGAGCTCAGGCTGGCCCCCGTGGGCCGAACCAGCGCCCTCTCCAAGATCTATAGGTACTGTGTGGGATTCGGAGGACCTGAGGGTGACCCAGAGACCTCTTACCTGGGAGATCCACCTCTTAGCCTGAGCAGCCCTGGGGGTGAGCCCTGGGCAGTTGCCCCTGGCCTGTGTCTGGGGCAGAGCTTCCAAGGGCAAGGTGGCAGAGGTGATGACTGGGGGTGGGGAAGATGGTTAGAGGCTGGCTCCCGAAAGCCATCCAGAGCTCCTGGTCACTCACCATTGATATCCAGGAAGTCTTCTGCCATGACCACTGGCCCCTTGTCAATGGGTTTGCCGGAGCCATTGAAAACCCGACCTGTGGGTGGGCGAGGGGTGTTGTAGGGTGCTCAGGGCCAGCCCTGTGTCTCTCCCTGCTGCTCCCCCTCCATGCCACCACCAGCTCCCGCCGCCCCCCCATGTCCCGATTGCCCTGTGTCCCCCTCCCCCTCAGCCCCCAGAGAGCTGGATACAGTGACTGTCTCTTTGAAGGGTCTTCCCTTCTCTCCTGGAAACCTTTACAGGCAAGATCTTGGCCCAGGACCATGACTTGAATGGGGGAGGGGTGGTTTAGGGCTGGAAAGAGGAGACAGCCAGGTATGGCAGATCTTGGGAGGAAATTAGGGGACGTGCAGTCCATTTCAGCCTGACCCCAAATAGATGGCACCTGCTGTGCCTCTAGTTTATGGAACCCGCCTTCCTCATTTATTGAACACCTGCTATATGTCAGGCCCTGTGCTGGGGTCAAGGATCAAAGAGAAAAGAAGACACAACCCCTGACCTCAAAGAGCTCACAGAGGAGGCAGACGTGTAAAGAGGCAACGACAGTGCAGTGTGCTAAGTGCTTGGTCAGGGAAGCCGGGCTGGAAGGACAGAAGAGCACCCCTCGCCCCACCCCAGTGCCTCACCCAGCATGTCCTCTGACACTGGAGTCCGTAGGATGTCCCCTGTGAATTCGCAGGTGGTCTTCTGGGCATCGATCCCAGAGGTCCCTTCAAACACCTATGGGACAAGAGGCTAGTTACTCTAATAAGGAGCTTGCTGGGGAGAAGGGGGCCTCCCATTCTGCCATTTCTGCCCAGCTCTGGGTAAGGTGCTCTCAGAAAAGTGGGACATTTCTTGTCTTTGCAGCTTATAAGATAGTGTGGGAACTTTGTGGGTTCATTCATTTATTCCACCAGCCAACATCTCATTGACTTACCTGCACAATGGCCTTGGTGCCAGCCACCTCAAGCACTTGCCCGCTCCTCTGAGTCCCATTGGGGAGGGTGAAGTTGACGATCTCGGCATACTGGGCAAACTGGTGGGAGGAGAGAGCAACCCAGAGTGCCAGTGAGACCACAGGTGAAGTCCCTGTCTCCTCCCCACCCCTCCTTGATCCAGTCTTTAGCTCCCATCTCCCCTGTTGTGCCCAAACACTCTTGGAAATGAACTTGAGGGTCTGGGAGGTGGGATGCTTGCATTCTGTTTGGGAGGCAGTATACCTGGATGGGTAGGAGTGCCGACTTTAGAGCTGGAAGACCGGGGTTAGAATTGAAGTTCTGATGCTTAGAAGCTGTGTGACCTTGTGGAAGTTACTTAACGTTCCTGAGTCTTACTTTCCTCATCTTTAAAATGGGGGTAATAATGATAATACCTACTTCACAGGGCTGCTGTGGGGAGGAAATGAGATAATATATGGAAAGCCACTAGCTGGTGCCCAGCAGCTCGTCACAGCTCAGTAGAATGTAGTAGCTATTATGGCTGTTTAGTTCTCCTGGACAGCACAGTTGTGTCTGCCCCTGGGGGAAGATGGTGAACACACTGGCAAAGTGCTTTCCTTGGCTCCCAGACGTCCCTGTGTACCAGGGGCAGTCTGTCCCTAGCCATGAAGCTGGGATTGATTCACATGTCTTCCTCCTAGGCTTCAGGAATAAAAGGAATCAGGCCAATATCTGGACTACATAAAGAACTTCTACAACTCAAGAGTAAAAAGGCAAATAACCCAAGTAAAAAATGGGCAAAGTATCTGAATAGACATTTCTCCAAAGAAGATATATAAATGTGCCAATAAGCACATCAGATGCTCAACATCATCAGTCCTTAGAGAAATGCAAATCAAAAGCACAGTGAAGGAAACAACAAGTGTTGGAGAGGATGCGGAGAGAAGGGAACCCTCCTACACTGCTGGTGGGAGTGCACACTGGTGCAGCCACTGGGGAAAACAATATGGAGATTCCTCAGAAAATTAAGAATAGAAATACCATATGATCCAGCTATTCCACTGCTGGGTATTTACCCAAAAAACACAAAAACATGAATGCATAAAGATACATGCAACCCTATGTTCATCACAGCATTATTCACAATATCCAAGACATGGAAGCAACCTAAGTACCCATCAAGGGATGAATGGATAAAGATGCAGTATATATATACACAATAGAATACTGCTCAGCCATAAGAAACAATGAAATCCGGCCATTTGTGACAAGATGGATGAACCTTGAGGGCATTATGCTCAGTGACATAAGTCAAAGGGAGAAAGTCAAATGCTGTATGACCTCACTCATAAGTAGAAGATTAAAACAACAAACAATCACATAGAGACAGAGATTGGATTGATGGTTACCAGAGGAGGGAGGAGGGAGGAGGGAGGAGGGATGGGTGATTAGGCACGCGTGTGTGGTGATGGATTGTAATTAGTCTTTGGGTGGTGAACATGATGTAATCTACACAGAAACTGAAATGTGTAACCGTGTACACCTAAAATTCATATAATGTTATAAACCAATGTTACTGCAATAAAAAAATTAAAAAATAAGACTGCGTTTAAAAATATTAAAGAGAACTTCTCTGAACAATGCCGCTCCCTATCTCCCCATCTCAAATCTTCTCGTTTCATCACCCAGTTCATTTTCTTCACAGAAATTACCAGTATCGGAAATAATCTCATCTATTTAATTGTTTGCTTTTTTTTTTTTGAGAGGTGAACTTTCATTTAAAAAGCTCATTCTAAAAGGCTGTGGTTGTTTCTTTGTTTTTTTAAAAAAATTTTTATTTTTTTCAGATGTGCATCGTGTTTCAAATTCTGTTTACTTTTTTTTTTTTTAAGATTTTATTTTTCCCTTGTTCTCCCCAAAGCCCCCCGGTACATAGTTGTATATTCTTCGTTGTGGGTCCTTCTAGTTGTGGCATGTGGGACACTGCCTCAGCGTGGTTTGATGAGCAGTGCCATGTCCGCTCCCAGGATTCGAACCAAGGAAACACTGGGCCGCCTGCAGCGGAGCGCACGAACTTAACCACTCGGCCACGGGGCCAGCCCCTCTGTTTACTTTTTTATTGTCTCCCTTCACCAACCAGAATGTAAGCTCCATGAGGGCAGGTACCTTATTAATCTTGAGCAACTCATGGTGCCTGACCTTTGGGAGGTACATAAAAAGTACTGCTGGAACAACAACAAAAAAGCACAGTGAGATACCACTTCACACTCACTAATACGGCTGTAATAAAAAAGATAATAACAAGTGTTGGCCAGCCCCAGTAGCCTAGTGTTTAAGTTTGGCATGCTCCACTTCAGCAGCATGGGTTCAGTTCCCAGGTACTGACCTACACCCTTCATCTGTCAGTGGCCATGCTGTGGTGGTGGCTCACATACAAAAAGAGAAAGATGGGCAGCAGATGTTGGCTTAGGGCGAATCTTCTTCAGCAAAAAAAAAAAAAAAAAAAAAAGAACAAGAAAAAGAAAAAAGATAACAAGTGTTGTTGAGGATGTGGAGACATTGGAACCCTCATAAACTGCTGCTGGGAGTGTAAAATAATGTAGCCACTTTGGAAAACAGTCTGTGTAGCAGTTCCTCAAAAGGTTAAACCTTTTTATAGAGGTTTCATGTAGAGTTACCATATGGCCTAGCAATTCCCCTCCCGGGTATATATCCAAGAGAAATAAAAACATAAAAACTTGTATATGAATGTTCTAGTAGCATTATTCATACGAGCCAAAAAGTGGCAACAAACCAAATGCCCACCAACTGAAGAATGGATAAAGGAAATGTGATATATCCGTACAATGGCATGTTGTTTGATAATAAAAAGCAAAGAAGAACTGATGCATGGTATAACATGGATGAACCTTGAAAATATGCTAAATGAAAGAAGTTGATCACAAAAGACCACATATTGCATGATTCCATTGACATGAAATGTCCAGAATAGTCAAATCCATTGAGACAGAAAGCAGATTAGTATTTGCTGGGGTTGGGGAGAGGGAGGATTGAGGGTGACAGCTAACAGGTACAGGGTTTCCTTTCTGAGGTGATGGAAGTGTTCTGGAATTAAATAGTGGAGATGGTTGCACACCTCTGTACATATACTAAAACCCACTGAACTGTACACTTTAAAAGAGTGAAGTTTGTGGGATGTGAATTAGAACTCAATTTTAAAAAAAGACCTGGCTTTCCCTTCAGGACCACCAGCAGCTGGTGGGCCCCCAGGGAGTCCCCCAGCTTTGCTGTCTGCGCATGCTCCCGGAGCCAGGTTCTCAGTCTTCACCCACATCTGGAGGAGGCTACCAGCTGGGCCAGGGAGACTGGGCAGAGAGAGCACCCTCCCCACTGACCCTGGTCCTCCGCACCAAGAGCGCCGGGTCCTGTATCTGCACCTCTTCCCAGGGGAGGAACTGGCGAGGATGGTGTCTTCACCCAGCCTCCCTACCTTGCTTCCCAGCTTGTTGATTTGCTTCAGGGAGTAAATCAGAGCCTTAACCCAATAAAAATAAATGATAAAAAGATGACACCCCTGCCCCCACCGAAGTTCCTAATATTCTGGGAAATTAAAGTACTTCTCTAAATTACTCCTTGGACAAAACTGAAATGACAGATTATCTAGACAAGAATGAAAGGCATCACTGCGAGCCTTGATCTGTGGAACACATCGAGGGGGACGATGCTTTCTGATCATAATCAAAGTAAGTTAGAAATCAATAACAAAAGAGAGAAAAACCTCATACATTTGGAAACTTAAAAGCATTCTAAATGTAGAAGAATTTATGATCAGAATTCGAAAACATTTGGCACTAAAGAATAAGGAAAAATTATATATTAACATGTGTGTGATGCATTTAAAGCTTTAAATGCTTATATTAGAAAAGAAAAAAGGTTGAGGAAGCTTAAAAGTATGCAACTTAGAAGTTAGAAAAAGGACAGCATTACAACTCCTGGAAAGTAGAAGAAGTAACAAGAGAGCAGAAATCATTAAGGAAGAAAAATATATATAATGGAAAAGATCAACAAAGCCAAATTGGTTCTTTGAAGAGCCTAATAAAACAGACAAATCTTTGGCAACACTGATTAAGAAAAGAGTAAAGTCATGAATAAATAATTGTTGGATTAAAAAAGTCAAAACTAGCTATGCTAATAATTTTAAAAATTATTAAAAAGAATAGAAAGGAATTATGAACAATTTTATGTAATATGTTACAGAACTTAGATTAAATGAATAAAGTCCTAGTAGAAAACTACTCAAACCAAAAACAATTAAAAACTAAATAGAAAATCAGAAGAGTTCTGTAATGCTTGAGACATTGAATAATTTAAAATCTTTCCACAAACACCAGTCCCTAATAGTTTACCAGTGAGTTCTAACAATCAAGGAACAATTTAAAATTTACTTAAGCTCTTCAAAAGACTGGAAAAAAAGTGATAGTCTTTAATTCATTTTATGAGGCAAGCATAACCTTGATACCAAGATAAGATAATTATGGGAAAATTATAGGCAATCTCACTCATGAATATAGATGCAAAAATCCTAAACAAAATATTAGCATACCAAATCCAGCAATGTATAAAAAAGACAAAGTTACAAACAAACCAAATAATAAAAGAAAAAAATTAAAAAACAAAAAATGAAGATAAACACACACACAAATAAAAATAAAGAAGACCAAGCTGGGAGTATTCCAGGAATTTAAGGTGAGTCTAATATTAGAAAATCTACTAAAGTAATTTATCTCATAAGTGGATTAAAGGATTAGAAAATTTTTTACTGTGATCAAGTAAAAAAATTTTAAAGAAAGTTAAAAAAACTATCCATTATTAGAAATGAAAAACAAAGAACAAAACTACTCTTTGAAAACAGAGAATAAAAGGGAAATTCCTTACCTCAAAGTATCCTCAAAAAACCTACAGAAAATATCATAGTCAATGGTATAATGCATGAAAGATTCCCTTTAAAATTAGGGGCAAAACAACAATGCCTGGTGTCATCACTCTACTCAGCCTTGTGCTGGAGGGACCAGCCAAAGTCATAAGACGGATGGAAAAT